ACTCCAGATTAATGCGAATACTTATTTTTTGCATAGGTCAAGTTTTCCAATGCCAGTAAAAAGGATAGAGACAGAGAACCATATGATATCATGCATATTGCTCAAAATTGGTCACTTGTATTTTTCAGTGAGACAGTGACCGGACACCCTTGGCAATCTAAAGCTCTGGGATAAATGAAATAAATCCAACATTAGTAGAAATAGGGGCAGTCAGGTAGCCTAGTGGTTAAAGCGTTCGATCGTCACGCCGAAGACTCAGGTTCGATTCCAGACATGGGTGCAGTTTGTGAAGTCCATTTCTGGTGACCCCTGCCTTGATATTGTTGGAATATTGCTTAAAACGGAGTAACATCAAACTCATTTACTAGTAATATTTTCTTATGATAATAGAAAACTGTACATGTTGTAAACTTCAATATGACCAACATAGCAACTGACCAAGTGTGTACACATCAACACAAAGCCCCTCTGTCTATACCATGTATACTATTAGTGGTACAGTATATCTCGTACACATGGACTATATATCTAAGTATAAGTACAATCATAAATCTTGAGCTGCTCATTGTGTAAAAACAAGCAACAGAAGGAGAATGGTGAGGGTCACTCACAAACACCGTCTCTGTACACATAAGATTACACAGCTGAACACTAAACAAACCGACTATCCATACACCATATCCCTGGCCTAGATGACTTATCTCTAAGAGTATATTCAACAAGGCCATTGTAAATTGATGGAACACTCTGTGGTCATGCTTGAGAACAAAGTTCTCATACATCACTGCAATATATGATAACTCACTTTGTTTTGAGTGTTGATTTTTCTTTTCTATGATGACACCGGACATATTGTAAATGATGTGACCTTCACACTGGAAACAACTAAACAAGAACTATCCATCCTATCTTACGTGCGCAGCATGAAATACATCCCGGTCAGTTGTCTGACCAGCACAATGGCTCCTGGACATCACAGGGATATATGTGTTCTTGTCATTAGCTATGAAGACAATGTTAGCACAACACGTTAAGCTGTCTGTGGACGCGTTAACAGGTGCGAAGAGGACAAACACCAAGCATTTTAACACTTGTCTCAACACAGAAGATAAACATGTTGACAGCGCATCACACATATACACACATAAACACAACAGATAGAGATTTGCACAACCGAAATACCAATAACATCCTTCATCCTTGCTTTTTTCGTCCACAATGCTTCTTTTAGCTGGACACTAATTTGTGGGAAAACATGCATCTAACGTGTCTCACATAACACAAAAGTTTGACCTCAAACATGTCAAAAACTGTGAAAACAGCTGACACAAAATGAATTGTGAATTCACCTACACTTACTCAGCAACAATACTGACACTGACAATCAATATGTTCATGCTGTCTGTATCACCTAAGTGAACTATCAACATCCTTATCCCCTGATACACGGGACCGCCTCCGTGGTCTAGTGGTAGAGCGGAAGGTCAGAGGTTCGATTGTTCGTGTCATACCAAAAGACATTATAAAAGATGGTACTTGTTGTTACCCTGTCTGGTGCTCAGCATTAAGAGGCTAAAATAAGGACTGGTCGGCTCGGAGTCAGTATACTGTCTCTGAGTGGGGTTTTCATGTTAAACTGTTGATCTCAGTGTGCTAGCACTATAAATCGGTATCAGTCCGGACTAGTACAAGCAGCCACACACACACAGACACACACAGACACAGACACAGACACACACCACTATATAAGTTCAATAATCTTGGATGCAACATTAGACCCCATTTCACCTCACCTGATACACAGAGTTAGAATTCATTTTCATTTTCAATCATGTCAATAGGCCACAAACATGATATGCTGCAGCATTGCCACCTACCTTTATAAGGTAAAAGTGGCAGTCCAAAACTGACAGGCTTATTATGTTAGTTTCAAACCCTGCATCATGTAACATGAACAACACATTCTGCCAAATAAATACCAAACTCTTGACTGTTTACCATGTTTACCTCACATTAAAAAACAAATGTAAATTTCCTATGGAATGACACAAATGGCCATATAATCATGATCATGATGATAATACTTATTTATCAAGTTTATGACTAACATATCTAAACAATCAATCTATTATGACCATCATCCCTAACATAGCTAGTGACCAACCTTCTAAAAAATAACACATTCATCCAAGTAAAAACAGAGAAAACACTGACCAAGGTACGTCATGTGAAATCACACCAAACTGTCACAGTTAATGAACATAATAGTTGTCAGTAATACATCTAGATGCATTTGTCCTGAACGTGTCCCAACTTAGCAGGGTGATAATGAGCATGATCAATGGAGCCACGTGCAATCATCAGACTCATCATTCAAGTTGAAAACAAAGATGTCTCCAACCAGTCTCAGCAGCACAGAAGCCCTTGCCTCTGTATTCCTCACAATCCTGTCATGATCACAGTATGGACAAATTATCACAGCAAATTTGTTTCTAGGGAATTAGCAACTGCTGATGAAGAATTAAATCCAAAAGCCGAACAAAGCATTTTGAATTCTGCAAACATGGTGACATCATAGGGCAATCCTCAACAAAGGATTCTGAGGGGAAGGGAAATAGACTTATTATGATCATGATGATACTAACATCTGAATAGTAGTCAAGTATATTTCACATGGTTGATGAAATACATAATATACAAGACAACATAAATTCAAAGTTGTTTAAAAACATATCACCTTACATGTTATTATTCAATATTAAATTGTTTTTTTTAGTAGTAAACAGACTAAAATCATGATAAGTGTATCTCTAGGATGAGTGAATGAATGAGTATGGTTTTACGCTACCCATGTACCCATGTTTTCGTGCGCGACAAGCTAACGCTTTAACCACTAGGCTAACCAACCGCCCCTATCTCAAGGATGAAATGGACAAGTTGGGGGATAGTTATGGTTATATGAGCCAAGCAGTTGTGATCAAATCATTCATTTGAATGTACAATGTGCACTGCATATCATGACTTACATAAAGGTTCTCTATGGTTTGATTCATCCTCAATTGATGTTTTTTTCTCTTCAGTGTAAACATGATAAACGTAGATGACTTTGGTTAGAGAGTTATTTTGCTAATATTCAACAACAACATAGACAGGATAAGTTCTTAGAATCTGCAGTGTTTGATATCAAGCATGAAAGACATAGGCCCTTGTCATAGTTTTAGTGTTAAATGTTAAACATTTCAGAGTGCCCTTGGATAAAATACTATAGAAGCAAGGACACCAAAACCCCACTAATTTCTAACCCAGAAGTTAAATATTAGTCTATCACTAGTAACAATTCACTAAACTTTCAGTGCATTGCTTTACTACTTGTATCATCATGACAAGTGTTCTCAAGTTATTTTCCATTGGTATTGATTGTAAGTACATGATATAATAATGAATTATCAGTAATATATTAACAACCTGTGTTGTCTAATTTAACTGCCCATGTTTATATGTGTGTTCGATGGAGAACAATGCATGTGTATATCATGTATATGTACGGAAACGAACTGATCACATACACATGATATACAAGTCTGCATACATTTACTCGGCTCACTCCTTTTTCCAATGTAACAAGGTTAACCTGAAACAATGCTTACATCTATCACAAGTTCACAACACATTCTCCTGACAAGATAAACCTATCAATGTGTGATGCAGCATAACAAAAGCAGTGATTCAACAAACTATAGTATATGTCTGTAAGCAATTCCAAAAGAGTTAAATCACTAACTCTTAAGCATGTTAAATTGATATATCTGCATATTACCATACTTGACATACTTTATATTAAACATAACGATCATAAAATGCATGACTTGTATAAATAATCCATGATTTGTTTCCTGAAAAGCTGAAACTAGGACTTTATCTGTTGTGAACATGTGTAGTGATTCAAGCATATCACCATGATTGCTTGTGCATACAGCATAGTTTTTCAAAGTGTATGAATGGTACAATTACAGTCATAGTGTGAGTTAAATATACTGTTACTGTGATAATACTTGGACATTAATGTCTAATATTACTATGATTACTAGCATCATGAGCATTACTAGCGAGACATTTAATATATTAATAACAAATGTATTGCAAATGCTTTACCATAATTTCACATCTTTGCTTATAGATATGGGGTAGATTCAAATATCAACAATTTGTTGTTTTGAAATTGAAGCTGAAATCAAACAAGCCCGCAATCTCCTTACATACATATCTATCCACAGGACCATGTAACTAATAATAATAACAAACAGACTCGCAGACAAAGCCAAAGGCCTCATCTACGAGTTTTTAGCGAATTTGTATATTATTATATAGTTACATGGTCCTGTGATCTATCCCATTTGACTAACATAACCTGCACCTGTCATCTGATACTCATGCATATGTTTCACTAGCCTCTGTGCATTGGGAGAGTTGTTATACCTGATGCACATTTTGAATGATACAAATAATCATATATAAATGATAAAACAAACAAACAAAAGACATGGATCAATAAAATCCTGAATATGGGTCAACCAAAATAAAAGTTTCATTATCATTTCAAACAGCCTGGGACCCATGCTCTTTTAGTGTTTCAAAACTAGAAAAAAAAAGCTTTGTTTCTAAATAGTTTGGGTTGGCCGGGATCGTGTAATATTATAGGCATTCAAAGATTTAAATACTATAAACAAATTCAAAACCTAAGATCAGAGTTGAATCAGCTGACAAATTACATGGTCATACCACAGCTGTCAATCGTTAGCTTGATAGATAAACAAAGACCAACTTAAATAATAACAATGCAATCGATGGTAATATGGAGCCGAAGTGTTCTTGATTTTAGTTACTGGTGAATCAATTCACAACAGCATCAGTAAATAAGGAAATATCGTCTGATCCACAAAGTATGGCCATATGACATTTTAGTTCCCGATCAGGCGTAAACAAAACACTGGACAACGCACCTGACAGTCGATCAGGCTCTAGTCCGGAGGAAACATCGAGGCCACAGATGACGAAATAGTCCGAAAACCTGCAGGGTGGAGGTTGAGACGACATCTTCACTTGTTATCTTGTATATTCCATGATCGAATAGTGTTTTAAAATACAAAAGTGTACATCATCGTCAACATATCGACGCCATCTCATTACTCATGTCATTTATCATGAATCTTTGCAGACGCCAGATGGCGCTTGTGCATACTATTTCCTCTACAACATCTCAACGGGGTCGCCAGTACTCTGTTGGACAGCGCATTGGGGCGCTTGTTTGGTTAAGACAGGAAGAATAACAATTCTGCGCATGCACACAAGTGAAAAATGTACAACAGGGAAAAGTTAATTCCTTTTGTTAACAACTTGTCTTTTTCTTCATGTATAAAATATGCATGATTTTTTTGTTTTGTGTCTAAAGACAATAATAAAACTTATTCAAATTAACATGTCGGTGGACTAACGAGAAGGTTAAATCGTATTCGCATTATTCAATTCAGATGCACGCACTAAAGGTTTTAACTAATAATATACTACAGAATACAACACCAGTGAGTTAGGTGTACACAATAAAAGTGTTTATAAACAACTGAAACAACGTGTGCCAGTTGCAATTGAAGTGTGTCCATTTCCTGTCTCGACATCGTAATTAATACCACGTGTGAAATTATGATCTAACTTAAAGAAGTGTGTATAACACTGTAAATAGTCATTACACTACTCAGGTTGACTGACCATAAAATGGGATGTCGTTCATTTAAAATGTCCATCTACTAAAGAAAAGGGACGTGTTCAGCTGATCTTAAGTTCATATAAACAGGGACAGTATAAAAGAATCATATATCCCTGATGATATAACACTATTAATATGCAACTAAGTACGGCACTTCAACAACGCCCCCTCTCTCCCCCTTTCTCTCTCTCCCTCCCTCCCTTTCTCTCTCTCTCTCTCTCCCTCTCCCCCCCTCTCTCTCTCCCTCCCTTTCTCTCTCTCCCCTCTCTCTCTCCCTTTTCTCTCTCCCCCCCCCCCCCTCTCTCTCTCTCTCTTGTATCAAGTCGCACTGTAAAGACCATGACCTATGTCATTTCAAGGCTTGTCTAAAAAAAATCCCGTCCCGCCCAGATGTCAGTTATAACATCTGCACCATGCGACCGTGAGTCAGTTTTGAGCGAACGACGCCAGAGCCAGGTGAGTCTGTGTCGACGGTTACGTTGCACACACAGCCGATGATAATGTTGTTACTGCCACAGATACTGTCCTGCGTGTAGCCGATAGTTATGTTGGGGTTGGCCTGGCTCCTCGGTCATGTTGTAGTTGTCGTCGTGGTGAGGATGATTAGTGTGCCATTGTTGCTGTTGTTCATGTAGCTGTAGGGATGTTAGATAGGGAACGTAGGTTAAAAGTAATTTCTCAGTGCATTTCTAGACTTATGTACGCCACACACAGATATTATAGGAATACTGAGAGACCGGTATATGTTCATATACTCTGACAGTATTTCTCTTTATCACATGCCTGTGTTCACTATTTCCTGACAAGTCATATAATCTTGGACAGAAGTGTGTTACCTTTCGTCATATCTTCACCCTATAGGCTATATTAGTTAACACGTGGTATGCTCCATAGCATATCGCTATCTATATTTATTTTGCGTGTTGTAATACACAGATGCCTTTCAACGGTTAGAAAATAGTAGACATTGTTTATGATATGCACTATGTACAGGCAACTTTAGACAAGGATATAGCATTTATTACGTTCAGGGAATGCATGAGGTGGATGTTCTAATGGCCAAAATATAATTATTTTCATTGTAATGTATAATATAACATGTCTCCCTGACGTCGGCCGCCTCCGTGGTCTAGTGGTCTAGCGTCTGCCCGAAGTGCGGAAGGTCGGGGGTTCGATCCCCGGCCGCGTCATACCAAAGACGTTAAACAATGGTACTACTTGTTACCCTGCCTGGCGCTCGGCTTTTAGGCGTTGAAACAAGGACTGGTCGCCTCGGAGTCAGTATACTATGTCTGAGTGTCTGGGGTATTCATGTTAAACTGTATTAGTACGGATTAGTACAAAAACCCACCGAGGTGACTATGCTTGTCGTTAGAGGTGATTATGCTTGTTAGAGGTGACTATGCTTGTCGTTAGAGGTGATTATGCTTGTTAGAGGTGACTATGCTTGTCGTTAGAGGTGATTATGCTTGTTAGAGGTGACTATGCTTGTCGTTAGAGGCGACTATGCTAGTCGTTAGAGGCGACTATGCTTGTCGTTAGAGGTGACTATGCTTGTCGTTAGAGGCGACTATGCTTGTGGTTAGAGGTGACTATGCTTGTCGTGAGAGGCGACTATGCTTGTCGTTAGAGGTGATTATGCTTGTTAGAGGTGACTATGCTTGTCGTTAGAGGTGATTATGCTTGTTAGAGGTGACTATGCTTGTCGTTAGAGGTGATTATGCTTGTTAGAGGTGACTATGCTTGTCGTTAGAGGCGACTATGCTAGTCGTTAGAGGCGACTATGCTTGTCGTTAGAGGTGACTATGCTTGTCGTTAGAGGCGACTATGCTTGTGGTTAGAGGTGACTATGCTTGTCGTGAGAGGCGACTATGCTTGTCGTTAGAGGCGACTATGCTTGTCGTTAGAGGCGACTACACTTATTGTTTGAGGTGACTATGCTTGTCGTTAGAGGTGACTATGCTTGTCGTTAGATGTGACTATGCTTGTCGTTAGGTGTGACTATGCTTGTCGTTAGATGTGACTATGCTTGTCGTTAGAGGCGACTACGCTTATCGTTTGAGGTGACTATGCTAGTCGTTAGAGGCGACTACGCTTATCGTTTGAGGTGACTATGTTTGTCGTTAGAGGCGACTATGCTTATCGTTAGAGGCGACAGAATCGAGTATTTACAGACCGCCATCATATAGCTTGAATATTGCTGATTGCGGCGTCAAACATTAAACATCTCCATTGTAGGACATGGTGGCGTTGATGACGGAATGTCTGTTGTTACAGGTGACGGGCCTCATTGTGTCATTTATTTTCTCCGTACGTGTTGCTTTTACAAAGAAGCACGTTTACACATGTGCCATTATCAACGCAAACACAAATAACTCCTACCCACAAGGACGCACATCTATATTATATACAAACATTTGCTTGGTGGCAGTACAACGGAGAGAGGTGACACGCACTGGCTTATCGGCAAGTAATTCTTATTTTCTCAAAAGCGTGATTTCTATGAGAGTGAAGCGTGACACTACGACCTTCGGATCACGACCTGATGCTACTCTCACACGGAGAGGTGCGTGTCTTGTGTAAACAAATAGACAAACAGATGTACAGGTGTGTCTGTATTATGTTTTAATTGTGTAAAACATGGACGGCGGTGTTAATGAGGATCGGTTGGCCACAATGGATCACAGCTAGAAAAATACCTACACAGCTGGACCAAGCCTGGTTCCCTGGGTAAGATGCGCTGGCTCAGTGCTCAGTGTAGCGCCAGCGCATCATACCCAGGAAACCAGGCCGAGCTGGAACCTTGCTGATTTAGTATAACATCGTACCCCACTGACGAGGACTGTTGTTCATGCTATCCACCAATGGTTTGACCGTTCCAGATTCGACCATACGAGTTGAAATAAAATAGACGAACTGTCATATTGTTGACAATACACTCACTGGGCGGCCAGGTCTCATTTCGGAGTAATGGTAAATGTGACATATATAACTAGACACCCACTAAATTTAGACAGAGACCATACAATAAGGTGATTTAGGATAAAACAAGTTGTCCTTCCATATTCCCACTGACCCCTAGACTAGCGGATTTGTAAGTAGTCACTTCTTAATCGCGGATATATCTGTTTAGAAAGGGGTTGCACCTAAAATAAAAACAATGCTATATGAATGCAAATAAATGCATTGTAAACAAGTTGCGTTTGCAAGCCAAAATGAGACAGTTAATTGTTATATTTGTCGAAAACGTACGTAGCACCAAATGATTCAATCATATTTTTTTTTATACGTCAACATGATTACTATGCTTCAAAAAGGGAGTGGGTGGGGGTACGCGGCTCCCCTGCGCCCACCTCTAGATCCGCGTATTCATATCGATATTGGGGGGCACGGGTGGCCCAGTCGTCTAAGGCGCCGCGATTCGCTGTGCATAGTTGCGTCCCCTGGGCACGCCAGAAACCTATAATTGTGGTTTCGAATCCCGGTTCGCCCCGATTATGTTTCTAGGTTTGTCAGCACCATACCCGTGCTCGTGGGTTTCACCGAAGTGGTAAACAGCTGAGACCTGCATCACTTCGGGCTTTCCTCCCACATTAAGCCGACACGCCGTCATATAACTGGAATACTGTTAAAAGCGGTGTTAAACCCAACTCACTCACACTCATATCGATATTTGTGTCACTTTGTTTCATTTCTGTATACTATATATCGTGAACAACCACACAGCACAGTTTTCTGTAGACATTTACCACACAGACACACAGGGGGATCGGGTCGTCAGGCTCGCTTACTTGGTTGATGCATGTCATCGTATCCCAAGTGCATGAATCGATGCTCATGATATCAATCACTGGATTGTCTGGTCGAGCTTCGTGCGGCGATAGACAACAAACAACAGTAAGCTACGGACGATGAATCATGTGGCTAGCTCTAGCATTTGACCCCCTTGTCCTGATCCTGTCTACCGGTGTTAAGCAGGCAAACTCGCGACTTAGCCGGAAAACTGTTTTATTCTATGTTAATGTTTATGGGATAAATATTTATCTTGCCTGTGTAGCCTTCAACTTGTATACTGAAATAATAAGAGTAAACAGAGCTATGGAATATATTATCTGTTCGTTTGTTGAAAAGACACGACCACGGTAAAAACACAAAAAAAGTGTTAAATTGTGTTACATGCAACACTTCTACACTAGAGACACAAATTGGCACAATTTAATTATGGTCTGGTTATTTATTACAGCGGAAAGGAGTTTGGGGTCGTTGGGATGGGTGTGGGGTCGGGGAAAGCGGCGAGATGGGCATTGGAACTGTAACATATTTTGCCGCCCCACACCCGCCTTTGAGTAACATTTTTTCCATGACACCTCCCCAACCCCCCATAATAAGTGAACAGTCCCTAAATAATGTACAATTTTTTAGGGTTTTTTATTTGACAAAATAGAACAGTTAAAACCGAACATGAATGTCACCTTATCCATTTTGTAGCTTGTCTTATATGAAAAAAACAACCCATCTTTGCCGGAAGATACGAAATGCCACCAGATCACATAGCTGTCCCAGGACTTTTTATATGACGTCCAGACAATAGTATTATTATATGGCAGCGCCATCTTCCGACAAGAAGCTCGAGTAGGACAGTGTTTTGGTGTGAGGTATGCAGTTTAATGATCTAGTATGAGTGACAACGTGAGGACATCCCATTGACCAAAGTTAATCTTTATGCATGAATACCTTCTCCGCTCATATGCATCTGCTGTTTTGAAATAAGAAATAATAAGCGTGTCAACCCCGTCCCTAAAGGTAGACAACTCCAGCCATAACACTCCTGAAACGTACCGCTAATAAAATGTCTTTAACAACACATACACAAACTGACAACCGAAAATGACTTGTTTGTATTAAATAGTTGATATGTTAACAACGTTATGCTACGTAAGTACGTTTCTTTTGACACGTATTCACTTGTTTGACATGACAGGATGTGACACCTAAACACTCCTAAACTGGAGTTACAATATAGATCTAATTGATCCATGCAATCACTGATGGCATCAGCTGTTTTTGTGATACGTTTTCCATGTTTCCTTGAATAACGAATCATGACAGTGGCAAGAGAAACGTGATGTTTTTTCTAATTTGATCATGTTTTCACACTTTGTTAATGAATCAAAACATGATTCATGTAATCATTGCCATGCTAATTGGTGATTTGACAGGATTAACTGCTCTGTCATGGAGGAAAGCAGACATCACGTCTGGCTATAAAGACTTCACACAATCGCACATTGCTAGTGTCACAGCGTAGGACCTACCACTAGGTTGTGTATATTGAAAAAGTGAGGCTTCATATCTGCGAACATGTCTTATTAACCTCTTCATTGCCTGTTATATTATCATTTCAGAGAAGTTTTGTACTTACGCTTGTGTTCAAAGTGTCCCAAAATAACTTTTCAGAAAATGTTTTAAAATTATACTAAATTTCATTTATTCAAATTAAATTTCAATTGTAGTTATTTTGATTAAATTTCAATTACAATTATTTTGATTAAAATTCAATTATTTTTATGATTCTTAATGTTAGTGTTTACCATGTTGTGCTCCTGTTTTATTCTATGTTTGTTATATCAATGTTGTTTATTTGCCAACACTAATGACAAATCCAACATGTTTCCTTGTCAGAGAGGGGGCACGGGTGGCCCAGTCGTCTAAGGCACCGCGATTCGCTGTGCAGAGTTGCGTCCCCTGGACACGCCAGAAACCTATGATTGTGGGTTCGAATCCTGGTTCCCCCCGATTATGTTTCTAGGTTTTTCAGCAACATGCCCATGCTCGTGGGTTTCACCGAAGTGGTAAACGTCTGAGACCTGCATCACTTCGAACTTTCCTCCCACATTAAGCAGACACGCCGTGATATAACTGGAATACTGCTAAAAACAGGGTTAAACCATACTCACTCACTCACTCACTCCTTGTCAGAGATTGTCTGATCTCATCTTATGAGGACTCTAGCTTCACAGCTGGGGACATTTCAACTTACCAATTAGAAGTTGTATTGTGATGGTGTGATGAGGACCCATACCCTTAGACACAGCAGATTTTCTTGCATTATTTACGATGAAGGGAGAGCCTAGCATGTCAATTTCCTAGATTTTGTTGATTGCTAGGAGAGTTAGAGGGACTTTATCAACATAGCTCTGATCAAAATGCTATAAAACATGACTGTACCGTAACAAACAAGGTGTATTTTGGATAAAAATTATCACTAGAATACTTACAGTGTACTGTATAGCTATATGTGTTGAATATCATTTGTTGGATATTTTGTTACGGTTGAATTGTTTTCATAGGCATTTCTTAGAAGTCAACTTTATCATTTTGTTACTTGTTTTAGATTTTGTTACCATGGTTACTGGTTAATAAGAGATGTCATCAGTGAGTTGCACTGTACGGATGTGTTGATCAATAGTTACACAACGGACAGATGTTGGTGTTAATTGTAACTCACATGTATTAAAGTCAGTTTCTTGCTACAGGAGTTACCTGCCCACGATGCTACGTCACTATGCCCAGCAGCTGAATCCCCTCCGCTATTTGACTGCAGCCAACCTCATCTCAAGGATAGCTCCACAGACCCAGGTAGGTGTTACTTACCGCCATCCACAGCCAGCCAACTGATATTTAACTGACATTATTTAATGATACAGCATTGGAACATTCTTGTCATTCATCACATACTTTTCTAACTGACCCATGCAAGAGAAGTGTCCCTCTATGGGGAATCTGTGGAGACAGTCCTGTCATAAAAGTAGGGTTGTCATTGATTGGAAAGGTTAGTATCGATATATCGATACAAACGTACCATGATATATCAATTAATAACAAAATTAGTTGTTCTGTATGTGTCTTAATAAAGAAATTCTCTCTGCAATTAATCAACTAAGGCTAATAATGAACTAGGCTGATCTGTTAATGTTTAGAATTAATGTTAACCTTCTTATTGTCCATCTATACCATGGTAGTCTTAAATGTAAAACTTTTCTGTGGCAGTGAATTATTGATTTAGAATCAATGTTCATAAATTTGTATCGATACAGTAGTGACATTTATAAATTAACGATATCGCAATATTTGACATCGCTACATCATGTACATAAAGGGGAGTAAAATAGGGATTAAGCGGCCACAATGGCTGTGTGTCATAAGGTATTCAGTGATGACCATCTTCCTAAATGTATCATCATATCAATCAGGAGTGATTTTTCTGGCGAAAAATGTATTAGGACATTTTCATGATTTATCAATTTTTGATAGAACATTGTTTTATCTAAAACCATTAAAGATAAAATTTAAACATTTTGACAGTCAGTCAATGAAAATAAATTGATCTGAAACCCTGATGATTTCGGTGCTCACACTATCACCCACTGGTTTACCTGCTTGAAGAATCCTAACACCACTGTTGGCTGCTGTTTTTGACATACTTTGTCGGTGATTTATATATGATTTAGCTGACTCACATTCAACCAAGTCCTTTTGTAAGCATTAAGTGTAGCTCTTCCTGTGGAGATGATTATACTCGGGCTGGGACGCATAACTCGGGTACCCGGGTCGGGTGGGTACTGAGTAGGACCCGGGTACTCACAGGACTACCCGGACCCGTGGTTTACATGTGATATATTGTTTAATGACAAAAATTTCTAGAACTCTATGGTAACACTACAAGTCAATAATGTTCGCATTTCTTTCTGACTGTGCTCCCATTCCTTCTGATTTTTCATATGGTTGAATAAAGATACAACTTATTTCAACTTCAGTGTATGAATGACCAGATTGTTTAATACATGCATCTGAATACGTTTTGCCAGGGCTATGCTAAAAATGTTCCCAATTGGACATTTTGAGTCATCTCCTTAGACCTACAGTGGGTACCCGTGTAGGGTCAGGTAATAGGGAGGTGGGTACCCGGGTAGTCAATTTGGACTCGTCCCAGCCCTAGAGTATACTGTGGTGATTTCCTTGCCAGAGCATCACGCTCTCCACGGACTGCGGCAGTGATGAGGTGAGCAAGGCACAGGCTGCAGCCAAGTATACCGGACAGCCAACCATCTTCTCCAAGATCCTGGACAAGACTATACCGGCCGACATACTGTATGAAGATGACCAGGTATATTGACCAGGGTGTCACAGTACGGCTGCCTCATGTATCAGTACATACAATGTATCTTGATACTAGAGTCTCAATACGATATTTATCATCCAAAACTGGCTCCCACAGGAGATATCGCTTGGTTGAGATCAAGCGATATCTACACTGTAGATATTGCTGCAATGAAATTACATCACAATGCTTTGCAGACCATTGTGACGTCACTGGTTACCATGACGTCATAATCAAATGACATCACTAATGGCTCTGCTACTGAAGCAGTTTGCAGTACTTTTTACACTGAAGACACTGCTAATTACTGTCTACAAATTGAAAAAGTTGAAAGAATGATGTTGGATGATAAATAAAATCTCACCCTTGTGACTTTTGATATCAAATATATCAAAAGACACTCGGGTGAGATTCTCTTTGTCTATCAGTATGAACGCACAATGCCATTTAGAAAGTGGTCAAATGTAACAATTGTTACTTTTTTGTGTAGAGTCCTGTCTGGATTCGAACCCACACTGACAGAGTAAGGCACCTAATTGCTAGCACACAAAGTCAGCAATCTAACCCACTCAGGGAGGGAGGGGACTGAACTGACTATAAAGACCAGTTTCCTCCCTTGCCGAACTCGGCTGGAATTAAGGAGTCAGATTTTGGTTGGACGAATGGGTCTATGCGTCTGGACTTTTGTAGTCATTTAACGCCCTTGATTCGGGAAGATGACTTTTCCCTCTCTCCCTCTATTGTCTCAGTGTATGGCGTTTGCTGATGTCAACCCACAAGCTCCTGTCCATTTCCTGGTGATTCCTCGGAAACCTATAACCATGCTGAGTGAGGCAGTTGACGAGGATGAGAAGGTAATGTCAGACAGAGGTCGTTATTTATCATTCATATATTATGTGTATCATCACATTTCGTGCAGGGGCGGTCGGGTAGCCTAGTGGTTAAAGCATTCGCTCGTCACGCTAAAGACCTGGGTACGATTCCCGACAAGGGTACAATGTGTGAATCCCATTTCTGGTGTCCCCAGCCGTGATATTGCTGGAATATTGCTAAAAACGGCGTAAAACCATACCCACTCACTCACTCACATTTCGTGCACCTGTGGAAATCAGGGTTAGAGTTAGTAAGTGAGTTAAAATTTGACGTCGCATCAGGGTTAGAATAGATCCAGTAACCCATGCTTGTTGTAAGAGGCGACCAAATGGATCGTGCGGTCTGACTCAGTAACTTGATTGATGATGGCATCCTTCCCCTCGGCATGGATCATTGCTCACAGCATCAGTCACTCAATTGGTCCAGACTCGATTATTTAGAGGCTACCATCATATAGCTGGAATATTCCTGAGAGCAGCATTAGGCTTAAAAAAAATAATAAAAGTATTGGTTCTTAGACAATGGCTTTTGAAAATATAGGGGGGGGGGGCAGTGTTTCTTCTTTTTTTTTGCTTGTTCAAACAAGTTTGTAACCAAATAAACAGTTGTGTACAATCATCCTAGGAAAGGGCCTCCCTACATAAATGTATTCTTTTATGAGTAAAATGCTGGAATACAGTATTTGACTACCGTTAGACTTGGAATACTTAAGAATGTGTTGGTTTTTTTTAATGGAAATACAAATAAAACATGCAGTGAACTTTATGATGATGCAGGCGGTGCCTTAGTCCTGCACCATGACCGTGGAATATATTTATTTTATGAAAAAATAATAATCTAGAAATGCATACAAAAGCAAGTCTAGCCAGCTCAAGCTAGCTCTATTGAAATCAGCATAGGGAATTTTTATTTTTATTTTTAGAGTCAAGAAGGATATTGTGTAATATAAGATTTCAGAGACTAAATGTTAGTCTAGCGGTGCCTGAGAACCAAGACTATTATTTTCTTAACCTTAAACAACAAACACATTTTGTGCAATCTGACACTTATTCGAGCTTGTACATTTCCACCTCAGTACATATACAGTGACTATACATTTGAAGTACATGTGTAGATGTGGACAAAGTAGGTGTGCTGTGAGGAGACGGACATTCAATATGCCAGGTAGCGTCAGACAGGTGAAAGGGATGTTCTATATTTCACTACAGTATGTGTTGGTACTCAGATGGCTATAGGGACTTGACAAACCAAAGGCTTGACAACAGCTGTCATGTTTTGGCTGAAGCGTGATTTCTTCTAATTACAAGTCCTACAGTGAAGTTGCATATCACTAGTCCAGTGGTGCCCATGTATCATGTAGGTAGATAAACATACGTGATGCCAGAGTTACTTCCCCTTTTCAGCTGTTGGGCCATCTGATGGTTGTTGCTTAGAAAGTAGCATATCACTAGTCCAGTGGTGCCCATGTATCATGTAGGTAGATAAATAGTGGAGTGATATAACCGACAGGATACGTGATGCCAGAGTTACTTCCCCTTTTCAGCTCTTGGGCCATCTGATGGTTGTGGCTAAGAAAGTAGCATATCACCAGTCCAGTGGTGCCCATGTAACATGTAGGTAGATAAACAGTGGAGTGATATAACAGACAGGATACGTGATGCCAGAGTTACTTCCCCTTTTCAGCTGTTGGGCCATCTGATGGTTGTGGCTAAGAAAGTAGCAAAGAAACAGAAGCTCGATGAAGGCTACAGACTGGGTGAGTTGTACAGCTAGCTGATACAGTACTGTTGTCATAGCAACACGTCTCCTCAAGGCAGTCATAATGACTCCGATGATCCTGTCAGAACTCAGAGGATATTATATGAGTGTTTACATGATGTCATATGTCATACTATGTTTACGACAGGAGTGTCTAAATTCAGGTATTTTGGCACGAGTGTCGTAAACAACCACTGTCATATAGCTGGAATATTGCTGAGTGCGGCGACAAACAACAAACAAACAAAACGTCAACATAGTATGACATGAACATGAAAATAGTGTTTTATATATTACCGAAGAAGATGTCTACATACATAGATGAATTGTAGTGTTTACCTATAAGGACAGCATGTTGCACCAGCAGTGGAACCACACTTTGATGAATGACGTCAACGATCTTCAGCTATGACGTCGTTTCTGGTGTGACATCATTCTGACCTCACGTTACAATAAGATTCGAATGACGTCAACAATGCCATTTGGATGACGGAAACAATACACTTTAGTCTCGTGACGTGATATGATCCTAGGGCATGTATGATTTTTATGAATTCCGATATGTTTCCCTCATATGTAATAATTCCTGATACTGCTCAACCTTTGACAGGGATATTCTGAGCGGGGGATCTGAATGTGTGTGATTTGTTGCTTGGAGATGTTGTCATACAAGTAGTATCGCATTTTGAATTCAGTCCTGGCTTTGAGTGGAAACCAGTGCAGCGACATCAGAGCAGGTGTTACTGGAGTCTATTTTGATGTCTTCGTGAGGATACGTGCTGCTGTAATTGTATTACAATGTCATATTGCTATGAATTGGTTATAAGTTTCAGTGTTTTGTTGCAGTGATCAACAATGGCAAGCATGGAGCGCAATCCGTCTATCATCTTCACATTCACATCATAGGGGGACGACAGATGTCATGGCCACCTGGGTAGAGGACCGTGATAGATAGGATATTGGGGTCCGGTGGGTCAAAAATGTTTTTTTATTTCAGGCTCAACACAATCTTAGGACTCTAATAAATATATTCTCATTTAATTGTCGATGGTACCGCTCATAATCTTTGTGCACTTTAATGTTGCTTTGAGGTGCTTAGGGATTTAACGAATATTTCCGGTGGTAGCCAATCTCAGATTTGAAGCACTCCTAAAATGTCCAAAAACCAGTCGGCATCACTGTCAGCAATGACGACCCAAGGACACTTTACAAGCAATTGCTAAGGATCCGCTGGCCAAAAAATTCATAAAAGGGAAATAAAATTAAAGTTATGGAAGCTATTTTGATTCTGTTATATAATATCAGTAATGAAGAAAACATTTCAAAATATATGAATATAGTAGAAGAAACCCTATTACTTTCCCTTCTTTTATTTCATCCACCAACAGTTTTGTGTGAGATCACTTATAAGTTTTATGTTTTTTGTTCTTGTTTCAATTTTTGATAACCAACCCTGCAGGTTTTTAAACAAGACATGTAAATCAAGAGACTTGAAACAAGTGACCTTACTATATGTGCCTTTATTTATCAGACCCAAGCTGATATAGTTTTGAATAGTTTCATGTGTATTGAGCAGTGGGTGAACTAAGTTCTATGGTTGGGTATCCCTGGATTCCAAAGCTCCAAACAAGGTTGATCACGGTGCATGCAATGTTTGAAGTTTTGTGGCTTCATATGTGTAGCTGTGTAATCAGAGGGTGTATGCTTGTGGCCAAAGTAGCGCTACACTAGAGGCAGCATGTCTCTGTGATTGTAATAACTGTATATCCCATATATCCTCCAAGTGATGTAAGAATGGCATTTGTACAGAAAATTAACCCTTTATACACAGAAAATAACCCTTCATAATGTGTCTGATGTACAGTTTGTGTGTATGGGACATGTACAGTGTGGGACTACAGGTAGTCACTTGTGTCGCTCACTTGAGTATCTGATCTATGAGTGAGTGAGTTGGGTTTAATGCGGCTTTTAACAGTATTCCAGTTATATCACAGGGTGTCAGCTTAATGTTGGAGGAAAGCCTGAAGTGATGCAGGTCTTAGATGTTTACCACTTTGGTGAAACCCACGAGCCAAGGTATGGTGCTGACAAACCTAGAAACATAATCGGGGAGAACCGGGATTCGAACCCACAATCATAGGTTTCTGGCGTGCCCAAGGGACATCTGATCTATGGGTGACTGAGAAGTACAAATACATGGTAGGGATTCAGCCATTTTTCTATTTTCTTTCCTTGATACGTACTGTGAAGCATTACAAAATAATCAATTGTTTGTAGTAATGTACCTGAAAACATAGACTCAAGCATTGTCTCCGTAATAATCTGTGTGCATTAAGACTGTTGCTGTTAGGTGCATGGGGATATAACGAACCAGTATAAGGATATGTAAATTTGAAATTGCGTTTTTGATGTTTCCCGTATTTGTTTACATTTTACAAGTTATTTAGAAGAGTTATGCAGTCAGATATATTTCGTGAACGATTGATTATTGATGATAGTTGTATTAATTTAATGAAATTCTGATACTTTATAATAGTTGTTTTGTGAGAACAATGTTATGAGTTTGCGAAACAAAAATATCCATGTTTTGTGAAGGAAACTTCATCATTTGTTCTATACATGTATATTGATAAGTTTAAGGATATTTTTAACAGTATTGTGAACAGGCGACCTAGCTGACATTGGCACGACTCAAGTATTTACGATGTACATGGCTGGCACGATGCCTGGAGATGAAACATCCCCATCTCTAGAATATAACTGTTATTTGTCTCTGACAGGGGCAGCACGGCTTGCCCACCAGTGACCAAGAGCTTCCCAAAAGGAAGGACAGTGGGGTAGCCTATTGGTTAAAGCGTTCGCTCGTCACGCCGAAGACCCGGGTTCGATTCCCCTGGGTACAATGTTTGAAGCCCATTTCAGTTGTTCCCCGCCGTGATAGTGCTGTAATATTACTAAAAGCGGCGTAAAATGCAATTCACTCACTTCCCAAAAGTGATTAATGTCCTTTCAGGCTTTTGACCATCATTAAGCTCACATGCCATGCTATAACTAAAATACTGCATGTGAACCCCACTCTTCGGCATGTCCAGCCAGCGCTTTACTGCGAGGCTATCAACGCTGTGCCTATTGTAAGGTTATCGTGAGATAAGAATATGATCATTGAAGAGTTGTCAAAGTATTTTTCTGACATTTATATTTGACATCAGGAAACTGTTGTCCGGACAAGTTTGTGTTAACATGTACATTACCATTAAAGAGATGTGTTTTATCGATCTTTTATTTCTTTTATTTCTTTTTGTTTCGGAAGTTTCTAAATATTATCTCTGAGAGAACCCAAAGAAGCAACGTGTCACTTACGCTTCGAGTGAACAGGTCTGGCAAGGGAACAAGCCGTGATATATATGACAAACCACATCAATCCACCACAAGGCACGGCACGGCAAGTTACGAAAGCAGACACACCGTGACGGGCAGTTAAAAGCCACGTTAATTCAGACATGTCATGACAATGCATGACACGTTACGAAAAGGCAGACACGCCGTGACGGGCAGATATAAGCCACGTTAATCCAGACATGTCATGACAAGGCATGACACGTTACGAAAAGGCAGACACGCCCTGACGGGGAGTTAAAAGCCACGTTAATCCAGACATGTCATGACAATGCATGACACGTTACGAAAAGGCAGACACGCCCTGACGGGGACTTAAAAGCCACGTTAATCCAGACATGTCATGACAAGGCATGACACGTTACGAAAAGGCAGACACGCTCTGACGGGGAGTTAAAAGCCACCTTAATCCAGACATGTCATGACAAGGCATGACACGTTACGAAAAGGCAGACACGCCCTGACGGGCAGTTATAACCAACGTTAAGCCAGACATGTCATGACTATTCACGACAAGTTATGGCAAGGCAGACACGCCGTGGCGGGAGTTATAAGCCACTTCAGCCAGACCTGAAGCTACTAACAAGCCATAGCCCAGCAGTTCGTGCCTTCGCTAAGCCGACAGAAGGTACCTGTACGAATATCTACATTAACATCGACATGGTTACCGAGATAAGAGTCGACAAGTACCGGCCAAATCCATGCCCTAAAGCGTGCTCAAAGCGCTACATTATTACCCTGCCTGAGACCTGCATCACTTCGGGCTATCCTCCCACATCAGTCCGCCTCCGTGGTCTAATGGTAGAGCGGAAGGTCCGGGGCTCGATCCCCGGCCGCGTCATACCAAAAGACGTTAAAAGATGGTACTTGTTGTTACCCTGTCTGGCGCTCGGCATTAAGGGGCTAAAACAATGACTAGTCGGCTCGGAGTCTGAGTTGGGTATTCATGTTAAACTGCGGCATGGTATCTCAGTGTGCTAGCACTATAAATCGGCATCAGTCAGGACCAGTAAAAGCAGCCACACACACTCACACACACGTGCATCCCCGTCGCTATATAAGTGCAATAATCTTGGACGCGACGTTAAACCCCATTTCACCTCACTTCCTCCAACATCAAGCTGACTCGACCCGTGAAGATCCGGGGTAGAATAGGTCTTCAGCAACCCATACTTGCCGTAAAAGGCGACTATGGTTGTCGTAAGAGGCGACTAACGGGATGGGTGGTCTGGCGCGCTGACTTGGTTGATGCATGTCATCGACCCCAATTGCGTGGATCGATACTCATGATGTCAATCACTGGATTGTCTGGTCCAGACTCCATTATTTACAGACCGCCGTCATATAGCTGGAATATTGCTGAGTGCGGCGTAAACAACAAACAAACAAACAAACAAGCTGACACGCCATGATATAACTGAAATACTGTTCAAAGCTGCGTCAAACCCAGCTCACCCACTCACTCACTCATTCTGCGACAACGGTAACCTGTGATATTGCTAACCGTGGATACTCCGGGGTAACACACTGACAAGTGAACTCAGGATAAAGAGAAAAAAGTGTTTATTTTGTATGGAATGCAGGTATTTGGAACAAACAGAACACATGACCGATATTCAGACATCGTATAGGTTAGACCGCGAGGATCCGAGGTTTAATCGATCGCTGAAATGGTCAGTTGAGCCCCAAGGCTCGGTGCACGAGGATCAGATGTCGAATCGTTGCAAGGGTCAGGTATCAGTGACCATTTGAACGATTGAACATGGAACCTGAGTGTTGTAACCTATTTTTAACTATGGCCAACATTCAAAGAACCTTGCACTAGATGCTTAAAACAAGATTTTTTGAAGAACGCTATTATAATCATATTCAAGAACTATGCTTAACGTCTGTTCTTTTGTCGTTTGATTGCGACGCGTCGGTACCAGCAGTTCTATCAAAACGTCTCATTGAAAGTATAAAAAAGTGTACATGGACAGGCTTGCACTCATTATGACTTCGCTATGTTGATATGCCTATTATGAGCAATCATAGCCTTGGTGAAGAAAGGTTGATTTTAACAAAAAGCTACCAAATCACGTACAGAATTAGAGAATAGCATACCATATAACCATAAACTAGGCATGGTGATATCTTTTTTTTGAGGCTAAACGTCAAAATCTGATCCACGCAACTGTAGAGGAATAACCCTAAATTTCTAAATTGTTTGAAAAACATCTATTTTATAGAAGAACTAAATGGATCAGTAAAAACAAATCTGATGTCCCAGATCAGCTTCTAAGAGAACTAAGATCTGATTTTAATGAGACTGGGATTAATTCAGCGATGCTGCCTAGAGAGAACTCGGTATAAATTGATACACAAGTATAAATTGCAAAGCCATTTGTTTTACTGTAAAATAATAGCCTGATGAAAATATCCCTGAAAACTTCGTCACCTAGCCTTTGCTTCCCTTCTGCCGAATCCCATCTTCCCGAGGCAAGGGAGTTAACTGACTGTAAGAGCCCAGTTTCCACACTTTTAAAGTCAGTTACCTCCCTTGCTTCTGGAAGATGCCGACCCCATCATCCGTTTATTGTTAATTATCAGTTCCACGTCACATCCATGCCAAGCAGCGACACCGAGGACATCTGACAATAAACATGTTTGTTTGTTGTTTAACGTCGCACTCAGCACTATTTCATCTATATGACGGCGGTCTGTAAATAATTTTATCTGGACCAGACAATACAGTGATAGACATCACTAGCATCGATCTACGCATTTGGGATACGATGACATGTATCAACCAAGTCAGCGAGCCTGACCATCCGATCCCGTGAGTCGCATCTTACAAGCATGTCAATAACCATTAACTGATGAGAGGTAATACAGTAACGGACGCTACTGCCATATATCAGTTTAAAACCCCTAACCGTCATATACCAATTAGCACAGAACTATAATGCACATTGATAAACAAATACATGTATAAAGTTTGTGCATAGTGTCATGTTCCCGATGATTGTGAAACATTTATATTGTGTCGTTGTCATCTGTCAGTGTATTTATATAAACACATGCAAAACAGCAGATACTCGCTGAAAACGTCAAAAACGTATGTAGAAACAATCTGTCCCAAATAATGACTTTACTTAATGACGCGCACATGCGATCCCCACTCGTAACATTAATGACCAGTACAAACAAACAAACAAAACTAACACCGGCACCCGACAAGTTGTACCCAGGTATAAACAAGAGCTATCCTTTAGTCACATGACAGGGTGGTAAAGTAGGAGAATAATCCACGGTTACCCACAATAACCGAATCACAGTCGGACCTATGTAACAAGGATATCAGGTTTACAGCGTCCTCTGATTTATATATAATACATTGTTATTTGATGTGAATCTAACTATACTAACTATAGATATAGTTGGAAATAACTGTAATCAATGGTTATAAGAAATCTGACATCAAACAATAAACAAATAACAGTACATGCATGTTTGTATTGTACAGTTGACGAAGATAACCGGTTTAGAATAGATTTAAGTCAATAACAGCTATATGTCCATACCTTGAACAACAGTGTAAAATAACTCCAAAGTACAATACAACCAAGGGAAACAGTATTGTGCAGTTGACGAAGATAACCGGTTTAGAATAGATTTAAGTCAATAACAGCTATATGTCCATACCTTGAACAACAGTGTAAAATAACTCCAAAGTACAATACAACCAAGGGAAACAGTATTGTGCAGTTGACGAAGATAACCGGTTTAGAATAGATTTAAGTCAATAACAGCTATATGTCCATACCTTGAACAACAGTGTAAAATAACTCCAAAGTACAATACAACCAAGGGAAACAGTATTGTGCAGTTGACGAAGATAACCGGTTTAGAATAGATTTAAGTCAATAACAGCTATATGTCCATACCTTGAACAACAGTGTAAAATAACTCCAAAGTACAATAAAACCAAGTAAAACAATATTGTGCAGTTGACGAAGATAACCGCTTTACAGCTATATTTCTAATTTTCTATACCTTAAAAATTTAACAACAGTGTAAAATAACTCCAATGTACAATACAACCAGGTAAAACAGTATTGTACAGTTGACGAAGATAACCGGTATAAAATACATTAAATTCAATAACAGGTATATATATAACTTTCAAAACAGTGTAAAATAACCTTTAAGTACAATATAACTAAGGGAAATAGTATTTTACAGTTAACCGGTTTATGTATTATATCGCTTGTGAAAAACATTATTTTAACGCTATCATATATATGGATGCTAACTTGTTCTGGATGGGACGTCGATCCTTTGAGCAACTGGGTAAATATTGTGTACACCTCGCCCAACAGACAGAGAGGCGGGGATACAAAGGGTTTACATTAGACGACAAATAGGCAACTGTGGCGGTAGAGAAATGGACGGTAGACAGGTAGACAGACGCACATTTATATACGGGTATATATAAAGAGTGCATACACCAATCACTGGATAGGTTAAACAAAACAGAAATACTCGTTGTATAAAACCAAGGACCCGTTCCACAAAGCGACATTAGCTCAATGGTAATATATGGAAGTTATGTCTTACACCTGAAATCGCTTTGTGCAACCGGGCCTACGACGGCATGGATGCGTTTGCTCCTGAGACAAGTCACATATAAAGGATGAAGAGATGAACTATCATTTAGAAAAAATAAGCTTATTCAATCTAGTATATTGTGAAACCCAATATGAAACAGCGTGAAACAAGTGATGTTTGTAACGTCATCACTCTGGGGTGTCACGTGATACCAGATGGCCATAAACTGACACAAAATCTCTGGTTTCAGTTGAAACAAGTTACGACCCACCCACAAAGAATCCTAGCTTTGCAAGAGTTAAAATATATACTACGATACATGGGCGGATACAGCTTTTTTGAAAAGGGGGTGCCCCCCCCCCCCCCCCCCCCTCCCCCGTATTCTCTAACAAAGAGACAGATTCGTTTGTTAAAGCAGACCAGTAAATATGCATGACTAGGCAGTATACATTGAAGACACGGTCTGTTGTGTGGCCCTGAACAGGTATGACGGCTGCAGCAGTATCAACCGGAAACGACTTCATGGACACGGCTTGTGCCAGAAGCAGGAGCTTCACTACCGATAACCAGGGCTTTTTCCAGTTGGTCTCTGAGGTTATCAGGAATGTCATTCTTTATATGGACCTTGACCCACGGCTTGCCTGTAGAAAAGTAGATCAACATTTTAAGTTTGTTTGTTTGTTTGTTGTTTAACTCCGCACTCAGCAATATTCCAGCTATATGACGGCGGTCTGTAAATAATCGAGTCTGGACCAGGCAATCCAGTGAGTGATGTCATGAGCATCGATTGGGATACGATAACATGCATCAACCAAGACAGCGAGCCTGACCACCCGTCCCATTAGTCGCCTCTTACGATAAGCATAGTCGCCTTTTAAGGCAAGCATGGTTGCTAAAGACCTATTCTACACGGGATCATCACGAGTAACATTTTAAGAAAGGACCGAGGTGTCTTACAGTCATATGAATATATGGAGATAACTCTACCTTAGAATTACGTCCTGTCGGTGTGCCATGGAAATCCACCGACTGACCTTTCTCCAATTTTGTCTCCCACCACGCATCTTCCCGAGGCAGGGGGGTTAACTGACTTTAAAAGTCCAGTTTCCACTCTTGCCGATAAAGGCTGAAATTCCTGGGCTCGATCGTAGCGCCACCAGTGGCTATTACGAGTTATGTCCCTTCTAAGCCTCTCCTAAGGACCAATCAGATTCCACCTCTCGATTCACTTGTATTTGTTTCAACAAAATGGCAGCGCCCAGTCAAGACGATCTGATCGATAATCAATATCTATATTGTGATAAAACGGGTCTTACATCGCGAAGTGCATCAAATCACGTGAGCACATTGATAAAAAAAAACATAAAAAGATTTGGAAAATATCTGTTGACAACGAGTTGACGGTGCACATTCTTTGCAAATCCTGCAATCGAACGAACTCCGCACGACAGTTTACGAACCGGATTTCGATTTTGTTCGCGCGATTTTGATTGGACTATGATTTATACTCGTAAGTAAGGTCACAATACCAGCCTAGTTCGGCAAGGGTGGAAACTGGACTTGTAAAGTCAGTTAACTCTCTTGCCTCGGAATTATGCCCACCACGGCAAGCAACTCTGGCCCAAGAGAAAGGGTTCCCTGTCAACAATATACAAACCCACCTTCTTCCACCTTGTCTCCCACCGTCACCATGAACTCCAATCCCACGGTATAGTCAATGGCTTCCCCAGCCTTGGATCTTCCCGCTCCAAGTTTTTGTGCCACAACTGCACAAGCCATAGCGCCAATACCTGTCACATATCCTGTAGGGAAACAGCAAAACTTTACATCATCATAATCATAATAATCATCGTAGTCGTCATCATCATCATAAACCTTTACATTATCATTATCAGCAGCAGCAGCTTCATTATAATCACGTCATCATCTTAAACCTTTACATCACCATGATCATCACCATTATCATCAGCAGCAACAACAGCAGCAGCAGCATCGTCTTCATCGTCATCATCAACCTTTACATTACCATGATATCATCAACATCATTATTATCATCATCGTCAGCTAAATTATCACCATCATCGTCATCATCAAGAGACTTTACATCAGCATCAGCATCAGCATCATCATCATGGTCAGCTTCATTGACATCCTCAACGTTATCATCATAAGACTTTACATCAGCAGCATCCGAATCACCACTATCACTACCAACACCAATCATTTATTTTCCTCACCATTAATATAAACATTACTTCGGTGTCATGTTGGGTTATTTTCGTTAGCCCACAACAAAGCTTCGCTGTACCTAGATTGTATCATATAAGGAACAGTAGTGTCGCTGTGCAGAGTTGCGTCCCTTGGGCACGCCAGAAACCTATGATTGTGGGTTCGAATCCCGGTTCGCCCCAATTATGTTTCTAGGTTTGTCAGAACCATACCCGTGCTCGTGGGTTTCACCGAAGTGGTAAACGTCTGAGACGTGAATCACTTCGGGCTTTCCTCCCACATTAAGCTGACACGCCGTGATATAACTGGAATACTGTTAAAAGCGGCGTTAAACCCAACTCACTCACTCACTCACTCACTCAGTCGTGTCCGATAAACTTATCACGATCCGCTTAATATGCAAATGAGGTCTCCTAGCAAAAACAACGTTTAAGCCCAATACATCGGTGCACTGTCTGCTTGATCGATAAATTATTGACTAACGTTCCCAATAGATTTAGAAGTTTCCTAATATATAAGTGTTCTTGAAGACAACCCATGCTGCAAATTATTTGGCACAATCTGAAAGATGGACGGTTCATTGTATTAATACGCGGTTTATAGAGAACTTCTTTCTCTAGATCTATATCTTGTCCCACTTTTAATCGCAATTTTTCTTTATCGGTGCTCACACTATCACCCACAGGTTTCCATGACGACTAACCCACGTAAAAGGCACCAGAACTGTACCTGATTTTGGAGAGAGGAGGTCCTTGGTGGCAGGAGCTTTCGGCAGAATACTGTAGACGTCGGCATCGCGTGCGCACAGAGCGTCTGCCGTGGCGGCTTCTACTCCTTGAGCTTTCACCATAGCGCAGAACTTCGCCAAAGCTGAGCCGTCAGTGAGGGTGGTCATGATCCTACGGCGACCTTCCTCTGAAGAGGTCGCTTTGCCTGCAACGCTTAACAATTCTCCGCCTGCCAGAAATAAATTGTTACAATGTAAATGAACTGTCAAGTGAGTCAGTAGGTGATGAAGGGTGTGGACATCGACTTATTAAAACTTGATTACCAGATATACGGAAGCTCACCTTTATTTTTTGAATTGACACTTGAGTGAGGATATGTTAATTTTCTCTTTTCTCTTATTACGGTAAGAAGATTTCACATATTTATAATGAACATTTATGGGTTGTAAACCGAAGATTGCTTTGAACATCTAAAAGATGATGTTTCCCCCCAAAAAACACAAAGATACATCTAATCAGACGCAAATACTTCTAATAAAAAATAGGCCCACACATTTTTCGAACTCAAACCAAAACCTTTGCCTCTACTGTATTTTAAAATAACCAAAAAGTATCAATATAGATAAAACATGTGGCAGAACTGTCGTTCCAATAGTTACCATGTAATCTTTAAAAAAAGTTTTACTCTCAATGAGTTGAACTTATAAAATGACTGAACATTTGAAGGTCGCCTGGGGTCACGTACCCCTTCCTGGTCCCTAGGGTGTTAGAGGTCACCTTTAGAGGTTATTGTATATACAAACGTGAGGCATTAGCAAACTTTAAATAGAATTGAGATATTTTGAAGGAATCTCGTAAAGAGCGCTCGTGGTATATCTACCTAACTCTGTGATCAGATTGACGAGATCATCGGGGCCGTTGCCTTGGAGTGTCCAGATTGATTCGGCCACCTCTAACGCGTTGCCAACCATTTTGCCAAGTGGCGAGTTCATAGTTGTGAGAAGTGACACCGTCTTTATTCCCAGACCATTGCCGGACCCAACCTACAAACACACAAAACCAGCAATAGTATCAGCCACAGTGGCGGATCCACAGAGAGAGAGAGAGAGAGAGAGAGAGAGAGAGAGAGAGAGAGAGAGAGAGAGAGAGAGAGAGAGAGAGAGAGAGAGAGGGAGAGAGGGAGGGAGAGAGAGGGGGAGGGGGAGGGAGAGAGAGGGAGGGAGAGAGAGGGAGAGAGAGAGAGAGAGGGAGAGAGAGGGAGAGAGGGAGGGAGAGAGAGGGAGAGGGAGGGGGGGAGAGGGAGAGAGGGGGAGAGGGGGAGGAAGGGAGGGAGGGGGGAGGGAGGGAGTTTCGGGGAACGCCCTTTTTAACAGTATTCCAGTTATATCACAACGTGTAAGCTTGATGTGGGAGTAAAGCCCGAAGTGATGCAAGTCTACATTTACCACTTTGGTGAAACCAACGAGCAAGTATATGGTACTGGACCTAGGAACATAATCAGGGCGAATTCGGATTCGAACCCACGATCAAAGGTTTCTGACACGCCTAAGTGGGGTGGGGTGGGGTGGGGTGGCGTGTGGGTCTTTGAATTAAAATGGAATAGAAAGGTAAGTAACATTTTTAACAAAAGACATTGGAGTGTCGATAGCATATAAAGCATTGCGTTGCATCGATGTTACCAATATTCATATTTAACCTGTGATCAATGTATTGTCAATGACCCATTCCGAAGCATCGATTGTTCGACCAATCGTCCGCCAACCTATCTGTGATGTCTCAAGCCCTAAATCATCGTACCTTCATATCTATAGAAGTTCGTTTTGGCTAAACACCAAGTGTATCAGTAATGATACAAGTACAACTGCTCGTTGGAGTGAGTGAGTTGGGTTTAACGCCGCTTTTAACATTATTCCAGTTATATCACGGCGTGTCAGCTTAATGTGGGAGGAAAGCCCGAAGTGATGCAGGTCTCAGACGTTTACCACTTCGGTGAAGCCCACGAGTATGGTGCTGACAAACCTAGAAACACAATCGGGACGAACCAGGATTCGAACACACAATCATAGGTTTCTGGCGTGCCCAAGGGACGCAACTCTGCAAAGCGAATCGCGGCGCCTAAGACGACTGGGCCACCCGTGACCCCCTGCTCGTTGGAAGTATAGATAGATATAGGTAGATATAAAACGTCCAAGTCAGAGAGTTCGTAGAACATGTCAGGTCAAACTCCTGTCACAGGAGTGTTATCTCAGTGTTCTCCATCAAGGTCATCCATATCTCTCATAACCTATTATTATATGAACCTCATTCCAAGCGATAGCGTTTACGAGCGGTGCATAGTCACGAAACTATCTCGTAAGCTTTAGTCTGATGAGCTTATCAAGATAGTGTATGTTTGGACATGCTGCATACGTCTGATATCTAATGTGTGCGGACGACGGTCCTGAAAATCTGCCCAAGCGGTGTTTGACCTGCTGGTATCTGTGCACGAACGCAGTGACCCACTGCCACACAGCACGACGTATTTACTCCCACCAAACCTTCAGTCATGACCCGCTGCCTTACAAGGTCATTGCCTCGACCTCAAATAATTCCACACTTTCACAAGATTTACGATCGTCATGTCGCTAAGATCTCTGTATCAGAAGTCCGCCAACATTGTAATTCCCTCCCATCCGCCAACTTCTTCCAGTCCTACCATCTACCAACACTATCCTGTCCTATCATCTGCCAAAACTATCAAGTCCTGCCATCTGCCAACACTATCCAGTCCTACCATCCGCCAACACTATCCAGTCCTGCCATCTGCCAACACTATCCAGTCCTACCATCTGCCATCACTATCAAGTCCTGCCATCTGCCAACACTATCATGTCCTACCATCTGCCAACACTATCAAGTCCTACCATCTGCCAACACTATCAAGTCCTACCATCTGCCAACACTACCATGTCCTACCATCTGCCAACACTACCAAGTCCTACCATCTGCCAACAATATCCAGTCCTACCATCTGCCAACACTATCAAATCCTGCGATCTGCCAACACTATCAAATCCTGCGATCTGCCAACACTATCAAGTCCTGCAATCTGCCAACACTATCAAGTCCTGCCATCTGCCATCACTATCCAATCCTACCATCTGCCGACACTATCAAGTCTCCCTGCCGCAAACACTATCATGTTCTACCAGTATCCAACACGAATAAGTCCTAACACAATCAATTTCCACCATTCGCTAACACTATCAAGTCTTACCATCTGCTAACACTATCAAGTTCTACCATTCGCTAACACGATCAGGTTCTACCATTCGCTGACACGACCAAGTCCTACCATTTGCTAATACTATAGAGAACTATCACCCCAAGCACTATTAAGTCCTACAATTTGCCAGCGTTATCCAGTTTTGCCATCCGCCAACACTAACAAGTCCTACTATTCGCTGACACTATCAACTATCACCGTCCTCCAACATCCACCTTCCGTGACTACCATGCAGGAGACCGCCTCCGTGGTCTTGTGGTAGAGCGTCCGCCCGGAGAGCGGAAGGTCCAGGGTTCGATCCCGGGCCGCGTCATACAAAAAGACGTTAAAAGATTTTACTTGTTGTTACCCTGTCTGGCGCTCGGCATTAAGGGGCTAAAACAAGGACTGGTCGGCTCGGAGTCAGTATACTGTGTCTGAGTGGGGTATTCATGTTAAACTGCGGCATGGTATCTCAGTGAGCTAGCACTATAAATCGGCATCAGTCCGGACTAGTACAAGCAGCCACACACACACATACACGTGCATGCACGTCGCTATATAAGTGCAATAATCTTGGACGCGACGTTAAACCCAATTTCACCTCACCTCACCTCACCTCACCATGCAGGAACCCTTTTCAGGTGCAACATGTCATTTTAGTTCAGGTAATATTTTAACCGTTTACTGGAAAGTTTAACTCAAGAACTTTGAACACAAATATAAACAATCGTTACACTTATCAAAACATATCCCGTACTTACAAATGTTTTCCAACCGGTTTTCAACTAAATTGTTGATCGTGTCAAAACACGATAAACTAAAAATGTTCCTTTAACAGTGTAACAATTTAAGATTTGTGCATTCTATAGATGATAGGTTTGAAAGATGAAACGTAATATAACGATAATAGCAGTTGCATTATGTAAAGTCCATTTATCATAAATAAAAAATCTCAACATCTTTAGAAATAATGTTTTTAAAGTGATCCTTTATGGTTTTTTTTATCATAATACTTGTTCTACTGTTTCTAAGATAAATTTGGTATATTTGATATTTTTTTATCAAACTTCGAGCTGTTATTTATGAACGGAATTGGTGCCCAAATTTTTTAATATTTTGTTGATCTAAATACAAATCACCAACTTTTGTTTACTCGTAATGGTTTATCATGCATACAATGTCAACCAACCAGTTTATAGGAGTTTCAAATGACATACAATTTAGTTGAACCTAGAAAATCATAATTTTTATCAAAATCAAGCTTAATTTGAAAAGTTTAACAACTCTTTTAATCTCAGTGAATAAAGTTTCTAGAAAATATGAGATTATAAATCATGACCTAAGCATTTCATAAATAATTATTTTATTATAATAGGTCAATCCAAATAAAGGTTATTAAGTTACGCTTTCCAGTAAACGGTTAAAATATTATAAACTAAAGTGATATGTTGCTTCTAATAGGGCCCCTCCACGGTAGTCACGCAAGGTCGATATTGACAACCGACCTCAAATCAATGGTAAATCATTCCGGATTATGGAAAATACAGTTTTCAAAGACAATGAACCACAAAAAGGGTAATAAGGAAAATCAACTAAAAACTGTCTCCAATTAAAACTAAATGAAACAAGGAAAGTCATGTCCTGGATAGAACTTTGCTTAAAATTACGTTCCTCAGGGCAATCAATGTCAAAACGCCAAAAATCAATTCGGAAAAAAATAGGAACAAAATACAAGACAACAGAAGAGACAATTAATGATCAAATTCTTGATTCATTGGAGGCAAAGATAAAGGTTTGAACAGAAAGAAATGAAAGTGGGACAAGAAAAACCAAAATAAACTGTTCAGATCTAATGAAAAACAGTTTTACAGTTTTACAGTTTTACATTTTGCTGCAAAAACACACATCATTGTGACTGGTCCTCAGCAGGAAACAGAAAACGTTCTGTTTCACTTTTCAGGCCAGACGACTTCATCCAAGCGAAGGACTCTGCAGGGTTGCTTACCTTCTCAACACACTGCACATCAACTCGATGCAGTGGTCGTTCAGATAGTCTCTCCTTGAAAAACTGAGTCTGGGCCGACTTGATATGGCACTTCGCTTGGTTGACACTCATTTCTGTACCGTCCAGCAGTACAAAACCATCAACATAATCAACACCGACATTGAGGTTCTGTCCCACATTCCCGGCTCGTTTTAGAAAACTGTGGAATACCTTGTTGTCATCATGAGTCTTGACATGCTTCACAAGAGGATCATCAGACAAATATATGTGTGCAAAAGTGCACAAAACAATTCTGTCATGAAGAGCCTCCACATTAATCAAACCACGCCCTCCCATCATAATTGGTAAATATAAACGATTGAGGGAAGAGCGAGGGTGGTGGGATCTATTATTATTATTATTTTGGTGATCCTGGCACAGTCAGGCTGGTTAGGCTCATTATCAGCTCAGGGCCCTTGCCCCCTCTACACGCAGCCCAGACAGCGTTTGGGACTTCTCCCAATTAGCGTTGCCTAGTCAAACCCACCAAGAACTTTTCGGAGAATGTGAAGACTCCCCCACACTGTAGCCTTCTGCATTACAAAGATTGTCAGAAGGGCTGTATACCTGGTAGCAAACCTGGGTACTCTCCCATCATCATCATCATCATCACCATCATCACCATCACCATCATCATCATCATCATCATCATCATCATCATCATCATCATCATCATCATTATTATTGCTGCAATAGTTGTACATATAATGCAATAGTAACCTAATAGTATTGTAAATATCGAGATGTTGTTGCAATGGTAAAAATGCCTTCGAAAGAAACCCCTTCCATTAAGTCCTACCATCATCTTTGCCAGCTTCCGTGCCGTGTCAATGTCTTTGAGAAAAGCCCCGATGCCAAACTTAACGTCCAGCACTAAAGCATCTATCTTCTCTGCTGCCTTTTTGGAGATGATCGACCCTGTATCAACAGTGAATGATCAGGGGAGCTTGGCTTAAAACGCTACTTTTGATATAAACTGCCCGGCTAAAGAAAGTATAAACCCATGTTTGACGGTGGCTAAAAATGAAACAAACAAGAAATGGTTCTTTGATGGAGAAGTATATTTGAAAAGGGTATCATAGTTGTGTTTTGAGCCTGATGTTCAATGTTTCGGCGATTGTATTCAACCGTATAACGTTTTCATAACGTTTGTATTTTTTTGGTCAAATCCAATTTTCGAGCGTATATATTCTTTGGCCCGGCAGTTTAGTTAAAATCAATGCTTTAAGCCGAAAATTCTCATGTTCATGGAAAGGGATTTATTGCTTTTAGGTTTTTAGTGACTCTTAGTTAAAAAGTATTTCAAAATTATATCACTGTCACATATGACTTAGATATGACGTTTCACCAGCGTGAATCACCTGTTATAAGCCCAAGATTGTCTACAGTGCCTGTGACGTCACGTATTGCGTACATCTTGCTGTCAGCAGGGCACAGTTTTTTCGTCTGCCCCACAATGCAACAGCCTACAGTCTTGATGATATCCAGCATCTTCTCTGTCGTCACAGAGACTTGGAATCCTGGGATAGATTCCAGTTTGTCCAGCGTCCCTCCGGTGTGCTCCAGACCCCGCCCGGAGATCATGGGTACCTGGAAACACAGGAATGTACTTCAGTGATGGAGTCATCGATTTGCTGTAAATGCGAGAAATCGTTTTCAAGGCTTTAAGATATGTTCTCAAGCAGAGGCTATACGGTATGTTCAAGTAGAGGCTATACAGAATGTTCAAGCAGGGGCTATACGGTATGTTCAGGCAGGGGCTATACGGTATGTTCAAGCAGGGGCTATACGGTATGTTCAAGCAGGGGCTATACGGAATGTTCAAGCAGGGGCTATACGGAATGTTCAAGCAGGGGCTATATGGAATGTTCAAGCAGGGGGTTGTACGGTATGTTCAAGCAGAGACTTTACGGTGTGTTCAAGTAGGGGCTATACGGTCTGTTCAAGCAGGGGCTATACGGTATGTTCAAGAAGAGAATATACGGTATGTTCAAGCAGAGACTATACGGTATGTTCAAGCAGGGGCTACACGGTATGTTTAAGCAGAGACTATACGGTATGTTCAAGCAGGGGCTATACGGTATGTTCAAGCAGGGGCTATACGGAATGTTCAAGCAGGGGCTATACGGTATGTTCAAGCAGGGGCTATACGGTATGTTTAAGCAGGGGCTATACGGTATGTTCAAGCAGGGGCTATACGGTATGTTCAAGAAGAGAATATACGGTATGTTCAAGCAGGGGCTATACGGTATGTTCAAGCAGGGGCTATACGGAATGTTCAGGCAGGGGCTATACGGTATGTTCAAGCAGGGGCTATACGGTATATTCAAGCAGGGGCTATACGGTATGTTCAAGCAGGGGCTATACGGAATGTTCAAGCAGGGGCTATACGGTATGTTCAAGCAGGGGCTATACGGTATGTTTAAGCAGGGGCTATACGGTATGTTCAAGCAGGGGCTATACGGTATGTTCAAGAAGAGAATATACGGTATGTTCAAGCAGGGGCTATACGGTATGTTCAAGCAGGGGCTATACGGAATGTTCAGGCAGGGGCTATACGGTATGTTCAAGCAGGGGCTATACGGTATATTCAAGCAGGGGCTATACGGTATGTTCAAGAAGAGAATATACGGTATGTTCAAGCAGGGGCTATACGGTATGTTCAAGCAGGGGCTATACGGAATGTTCAAGCAGGGGCTATACGGTATGTTCAAGCAGGGGCTATACGGTATGTTCAAGCAGGGGCTATACGGTATGTTCAAGCAGGGGCTATACGGTATGTTCAAGAAGAGAATATACGGTATGTTCAAGCAGGGGCTATACGGTATGTTCAAGCAGGGGCTATACGGTATGTTCAAGCAGGGGCTATACGGTATGTTTAAGCAGGGGCTATACGGTATGTTCAAGCAGGGGCTATACGGAATGTTCAAGCAGGGGCTATATGGAATGTTCAAGCAGGGGCTATACGGTATGTTCAAGCAGAGACTTTACGGAATGTTCAAGCAGGGGCTATACGGTATGTTCAAGCAGAGACTTTACGGAATGTTCAAGCAGGGGCTATACGGTATGTTCAAGCAGGGGCTATACGGTATGTTCAAGCAGAGACTTTACGGTATGTTCAAGCAGGGGCTATACGGAATGTTCAAGCAGGGGCTATACAGTTTGTTCAATTTCTTTACAGTAGGGGTGGTTTCTTCGTCATTATGCCCTTGTATTTTGCTAAGCGGGACGTCTAACCTCTCCAACTTCAAGTTTTATTCAACTGAAAGCATGTCTTTGAATGTCTTGGACTCGAGCTTGACAGCATGAAACAGACGGACCAGTGCTCTTACCTTCAACCCACAGGCTGCCAGTGCCGGGGCGAGGACTAGGCTGACTTTGTCCCCGACTCCCCCGGTGCTGTGTTTGTCCACCAGCTCACCCTTCCATTCCTTAGGCCAACTCAGCGTCTCCCCCGAGTTCATCATGGCGCGGGTCAGGTCTGTCGTCTCCCTCATGGTCAGATCGTTTAAATACATGGCCATAAGCATGGCACCTGTAACATAGAATACCATTAACAAGGTACCTGTAAAGTAGCTCAGTCAGACGCCTGAAAATATAGAATACAATCAACAACTCCCTATAAAGTGGCACATTGTAAGCAGGACGTCTGAAAACACAGAATACCATCAACAGCTATCTTTAAAGTTGCCCATTGTAAGTAAGACGTCTGAAAACATAGAATACCATCAACAGCTACCTTTAAAGTTGCTCATTGTAAGCAAGACGTCAGAAAACAGAATACCATCAACAGCTACCTTTAAAGTTGCCCATTGTAAGTAAGACGTCTGAAAACATAGAGTACCATTAACACTACCACCAGTAGTGCACCTGTGATAGATAATACATCAGTACAGCACCTGTATCAGAATACCATATTCAGTATAGCACCTGTAACACAGACCACCATCAATAATGCACCTTTAACACAGAAAACCACCAATATTGCACCTTGAACACGGCATTCTGATTAGCCGAATTGGTCAAGTGTTATGGCATTTATGTTACAATGAATATAATACAGTAAGCAACACCCTCCGAAGCCGACAATTTTCACCACTACGGAATGTCGGGGAATCCCTTTTACAGTCGAGGGAATTCCCTTTCTGCCCACCTATATTATGTATCAGACTCTATAGCGAAAATCATGAATATTCATCCACCAAATCACCCTTCGAAGCAGAGGTCGAGAAGGAATGAAACATAAAATGAGCAGACTCGCTCACGCGGGTTCCAGAAATGTCATGTCTTCCTGTTTCATGACTAACTTGCACTTCCCGTTCTCAGGGAACAAATGTTTGAATCTGGAAGTTACTGACCATGTCCTTTGAAACAGACCGCATTCGTTATTCAGTGGTAGAGCGTCTGCAAGGAGAGCGGAAGGTCGGGGTTCGATTCCCGACCGCGTCATGCCAAAAGACATTTAAAGATGGTGTTTGTTATTACTCTGCCTGGCACCATCATATACACTAATATACATGTATGTGTATATATGAAATCGACTCAAATATTACAACAATCTTGACTGACTGAAAGTGCATTCGGTGGTCAAATCTCCCGATGTTGACCTGGATGTTCTGATAACTCACTAATGGTATTTTCCTACGTGATAAACAAAACACCCATTTTTTTCTATAAACGATTATGACGAATTACCGGAGACAATTGTTATGCTGTGTGTGTAAGTGAAAAGACATTTCATATTCTGTCCTTTAAGTATCATGGGAAGTTGTGTTGCTGAGGCGTAAATGTTTCTATTTCTACTGGAGAGGTAAAGCAGATTAACATAAATAATGTACGTGTTAATTAAATGATGACATTCTTAAACATCGGATAGTCCTTGAACATACGTGCCAAACTGACAATAAATCTTCCTAACCAGTACCATGTATTTCATAGAGGAATTAAAACTTAAAATGACAATCTGGTTTGAGGAAATGTGCACACCTGATTTAACTCAGACTGGACAGACAACATCAATATTGTTCTCTGCTTCTAAATACTGGATTGTGAGGATTTCCAACGCAAGATTGTTTTACAGACGCCGAATCTAAGTGTGAACTTCTAATCTCTGTGATTGCATTTACCACGGGGGTTGATTGATAGGGCATCACATAGGAAGACTTGGTCTAAAGACATTAAAAATGATATATTTTTCCTCTTATTCCCCTTCCAGATTGATACACTTTCACCAACGACGTTGGGGGGATTTTATCACAGTTTCGTGGAAGTCCTCTTGGCGATCGAAATGGGTTGTGGCTAGAGTTGTCTTCATCTTTGGAACAGATGGTAACCTGACGGAGCCAGATCAGGAGAATAAGGTGGTGTTGAAGGAGTTCAGAGCTCAACGTGTGGAATGTAGCTATGACAAGGCTCTGTTGAAGGAGTTCAGAGCTCCACGTGTGGAATGTAGCCATGACAAGGCTCTGTTGAAGGAGTTCAGAGCTCCACGTGTGGAATGTAGCTATGACAAGGCTCTGTTGAAGGAGTTCAGAGCTCCACGTGTGGAATGTAGCTATGACAAGGCTCTGTTGAAGGAGTTCAGAGCTTCATTTGTAGAATGTAGTCATGACAAGGCTCTGTTGAAGGAGTTCAGAGTTCCACGTGTGGAATGTAGCTGATAAGGCTCTGTTGAAGGAGTTCAGAGCTTCACGTGTGGAATGTAGCCATGACAAGGCTCTGTTGAAGGAGTTCAGAGCTTCACGTGTGGAATGTAGCCATGACAAGGCTCTGTTGAAGGAGTTCAGAGCTTCACGTGTGGAATGTAGCCATGACAAGGCTCTGTTGAAGGAGTTCAGAGCTCCACGTGTGGAATGTAGCCATGACAAGGCTCTGTTGAAGGAGTTCAGAGCTCCACCTGTGGAATGTAGCCATGACAAGGCTCTGTTGAAGGAGTTCAGAGCTCCACGTGTTGAATGTAGCCATGACAAGGCTCTGTTGAAGGAGTTCAGAGCTTCATTTGTAGAATGTAGCCATGACAAGGCTCTGTTGAAGGAGTTCAGAGTTCCACGTGTGGAATGTAGCTGATAAGGCTCTGTTGAAGGAGTTCAGAGCTTCACGTGTGGAATGTAGCCATGACAAGGCTCTGTTGAAGGAGTTCAGAGCTTCACGTGTGGAATGTAGCCATGACAAGGCTCTGTTGAAGGAGTTCAGAGCTTCACGTGTGGAATGTAGCCATGACAAGGCTCTGTTGAAGGAGTTCAGGGCTTCATTTGTGGAATGTAGCCATGACAAGGCTCTGTTGAAGGAGTTCAGAGCTCCACCTGTGGAATGTAGCCATGACAAGGCCCAGTTAGAGGAGTTCAGAGCTCCATTTGTGGAATGTAGCCATGGCAAGGCTCTGTTGAAGGAGTTCAGAGCTCCACGTGTGGAATGTAGCTATGACAAGGTTCGTTGAAGGAGTTCAGAGCTCCACGTGTGGAATGTAGCTATGACAAGGCTCTGTTGAAGGAGTTCAGGGCTTCATTTGTGGAATGAAGCCATGACAAGGCTCTGTTGAAGGAGTTCAGAGCTCCACGTGTGGAATGTAGCTATGACAAGGCTCTGTTGAAGGAGTTCAGAGTTCACGTGTGGAATGTAGCTATGACAAGGCTCTGTCGAAGGAGTTCAGAGCTCCACGTGTGGAATGTAGCTATGACAAGGCTCTGTTGAAGGAGTTCAGAGCTTCACGTGTGGAATGTAGCCATGACAAGGCTCTGTTGAAGGAGTTCAGAGTTCACGTGTGGAATGTAGTCATGACAAGGCTCTGTTGAAGGAGTTCAGAGCTCCACGTGTGGAATGTAGCTATGACAAGGCTCTGTTGAAGGAGTTCAGAGCTTCACGTGTGGAATGTAGCCATGAAAAGGCTCTGTTGAAGGAGTTCAGAGCTTTACGTGTGGAATGTAGCCATGACAAGGCTCTGTTGAAGGAGTTCAGAGCTTCACGTGTGGAATGTAGCTATGACAAGGCTCTGTTGAAGGAGTTCAGAGTTCCACGTGTGGAATGTAGCCATGACAAGGCTCTGTTGAAGGAGTTCAGAGCTTCACGTGTGGAATGTAGCCATGACAAGGCTCTGTTGAAGGAGTTCAGAGCTTCACGTGTGGAATGTAGCCATGACAAGGCTCTGTTGAAGGAGTTCAGAGCTTCACGTGTGGAATGTAGCTATGACAAGGCTCTGTTGAAGGAGTTCAGAGCTCCACGTGTGGAATGTAGCCATGACAAGGCTCTGTTGAAGGAGTTCAGAGCTTCACGTGTGGAATGTAGCCATGACAAGGCTCTGTTGAAGGAGTTCAGAGCTTCACGTGTGGAATGTAGCTATGACAAGGCTCTGTTGAAGGAGTTCAGAGCTCCACGTGTGGAATGTAGCCATGACAAGGCTCTGTTGAAGGAGTTCATGGCTTCATTTGTGGAATGTAGCTATGACAAGGCTCTGTTGAAGGAGTTCAGAGCTCCACTTGTGGAATGTAGCCATGACAAGGCTCTGTTGAAGGAGTTCACAGCTCCACGTGTGGAATGTAGCCATGACAAGGCTCTGTTGAAGGAGTTCAGAGCTCCACGTGTGGAATGTAGCTATGACAAGGCTCTGTTGAAGGAGTTCAGAGCTCAACGTGTGGAATGTAGCCATGACAAGGCTCTGTTGAAGGAGTTCAGAGCTTCATTTGTAGAATTTAGCCATGACAAGGCTCTGTTGAAGGAGTTCAGGGCTTCATTTGTGGAATGTAGCCATGACAAGGCTCTGTTGAAGGAGTTCAGAGCTCCACGTGTGGAATGTAGCCATGACAAGGCTCTGTTGAAGGAGTTCAGAGCTTCACGTGTGGAATGTAGCTATGACAAGGCTCTGTTGAAGGAGTTCAGAGCTTCACGTGTGGAATGTAGCCATGACAAGGCTCTGTTGAAGGAGTTCAGAGCCTCATTTGTAGAATTTAGCCATGACAAGGCTCTGTTGAAGGAGTTCAGGGCTTCACTTGTGGAATGTAGCCATGACAAGGCTCTGTTGAAGGAGTTCAGAGCTCAACGTGCGGAATGTAGCTATGACAAGGCTCTGTTGAAGTTCAGAGCCTCACGTGTGGAATGTAGCCATGACAAGGCTCTGTTGAAGGAGTTCAGAGCTTCACGTGTGGAATGTAGCCATGACAAGGCTCTGTTGAAGGAGTTCAGAGCTTCACGTGTGGAATGTAGCCATGACAAGGCTCTGTTGAAGGAGTTCAGGGCTTCATTTGTGGAATGTAGCTATGACAAGGCTCTGTTGAAGGAGTTCAGAGCTCCACCTGTGGAATGTAGCCATGACAAGGCTCTGTTGAAGGAGTTCAGACCTCCACGTGTGGAATGTAGCCATGACAAGGCTCTGTTGAAGGAGTTCAGGGCTTCATTTGTAGAATGTAGCCATGACAAGGCTCTGTTGAAGGAGTTCAGAGCTTCACGTGTGGAATGTAGCTGATAAGGCTCTGTTGAAGGAGTTCAGAGCTTCACGTGTGGAATGTAGCCATGACAAGGCTCTGTTGAAGGAGTTCAGAGCTT